ACAAAGCAGAGGTTAAAAATAATTTTTTTTTACAACTTGCAGCTTCTTAACTTTAATAAAAGACATTTACTATAATAATACTAAAAAGATACACAGAAAGTTTTGATAAATGCTAAGATAATTTTTTTAAAAAAACTTAATGGCACCTGAAGGATTCTATAGTGTGCTGTGTTTAAACGGTTCAAAGGAAACAGTTCTAGTTTACCACTCTTTATATTATATGGCTATTATTGCTTTATGTTACAGTAGAGATGCTATTTCTGTAGGCTCATCATCAAAAGACGGGCCAGCATAATATAGAGCAGCCCTGGATGGGAATCAGGTGGATTGGGTTCAATCCTTACCTTTGTTATTACCAGTATAATCTTGGTGAAAACCACAATGTATGTGAGTTTTTGTTTCTTGCCCATAAGATACAAAGAATGGATTTGATGGTTTCTTAATTCTAAAAGTCTAAAACAGTAACCTAATTTTGGGATGAACTAGGTACTATATTTGCATTATCTTTTACTTTTGTAACAACACAGGGCCTAGCAAAACATTTAATACTTTTATTCTTTTTTGGTAGTGCTAGAGCTTGAATCCAGGATCTCACACATACTAGACAAGAGATCTCCCACGGAGCTATATTCCCCAGCCCTTAGTTACTTTTAAGTCAATAAACATTTATTGAACATCATTTAGGATCCTGGAACAGTGCTAAATGCTGGGAATTCAGAGATAACTTAGACATGTTCACTAGCTTTAGAATTTAATAGTCCAGAGGAAAATAAATGTATAAGGTGAATTAAACATAAAGAATTATGACAGAAATAAACAATGTTACTGGCATATAATAAGCATAGCTTATAAGGGATGCAGAAAGCCTTCCTGGGGGAAACTGCACTTCTAATGAATCCTGAAGGATTAGTTACACACGTTGATGAAGAGCACAGAAAACAGCAAGAACAAAAACAAAGAAATGTAAAGTGTATGAATAAACGAATATGGCATACCTGCATTATAAATTCCTCCTAAACTACTTTAAAAATGAAACATTATATATGAAATTATATAAAATGACTATAAAACCACCCTTATCATAAGAACAACCTATGCTACTTGACTTTCCATATTTCATTTAGATTTTCAGCATACGATAAGTTTCAGACATTAATAGTTAAGGTCTGGAGATGTAGCTTACCAGCAGAGTTCTTACCAAGCAAATGGGAGGCACTGTGCTCAATACCCAGCTCTTCATAAAAGGGAAAAAGCTGAGTAGATGGCCCATTAAACCAGTCTATAATCACTGGGAACAGATCAGTTCAACTAAAGAAATTATTCTCATTTCAGGAGGTAGTGCTACAAAAAATTTTTTTTGTGTTGGTGGATATCAAACCTCATTTATACTAAGAAAGTGCTCTACCATTCACCTACAGCCCCAGTTCTATGAGTGGGTTTTTATTGAAGTTAGGCCTGAATATGGAGTTAGTAAGCAGGTAGTAAGAGACATTTCCTTGGAATCAAAAGAAAAATGAAGATTAATGTTTGGGGCAGTCTAAAAAAACTAGTCCCTGAGACTGAAAGGCAATCAGCTAAGAATGTTCTTAGATTTGGGCTTGAAGTATCTTCAGTTTGGGAGGCAGATACTGGCAATCTGATATATGTTCCAGTTTGCATCAAGTGTTCCAATGACCTTTCTGAGTCCTCAATACAGTAACAGGCAGAAAGGATGCATATATGTAGCAATTTTTAAGTCTATTATCAATGTGTTTATCCTTAGCCTGTAAGGCTTTAAGCAAGACCCAGTCCTAATTTTTAGTGATTTTAAGACAGAAAAGTAGGACACTGGAAGCATTAGCGGTGAATTGCAGACAGATATAAAAGGACATCATACTTCAGAATTTAGTTCAAGTTGTGGGTAAATAATAAAATCTCAAAAACAATGAATAGGAAATACATAATTTTCTTTTTTTTTCGAGATGGGGGGGTTCTCCCTACGCTACCCAGGCTGGTCTAGAACTCCTGGGTAACAGTTATTCTCCCACTTCAACCTCCCCAGTGCTAGGATACCAGGTCATAATAAATTTCTTTCTTTTTTTGGTGAGAATGGGGTTTTAAGTCAGGACTTTATACTTGCAAAGCAGGCATGCTATTGCTTGAGCCACATCTCCAGACATTTTTGCTCTGGTTGTTTTGAAGATGGGATCTCAAGAACTATTTGCCTAGGCTGGCCTCAAACCACAATCTTCCTGATGTCAGCCTCTGAGGTAGCGAGGATTACAGGTATGAGCCATCAGTGCCCAAACATAATTTTCTTTTAAAACATAATTTTTGTGTCCCTAGTGTCTCATGTTTTACCAAGATATCAGGGTAAAAACCAATTTATTTGTACAAGCTTCAGACTTGGGTTGATCACTTATTTTTGTAGGTACAACAAGAATAATGATTGACCATATACAATCTTATTAAGTTTGTTTTGCTGAGATTTTTTTAATAAAGCACCTCCAATGAGGAATTTAAAAGCCCCCAGGAAGCCAAATCAAGGATTTACCAACCAATTTCACCTGTAGTACCTGGGTGAAAGTCTCTCTTTCTGGGGTCCCCAAAATATCTTGAAGTCCATGGGATATCAGAAAGCAACATTCTTTACTGACTGCTAGGCAAAGAGAATCCTGCAGATAAAGGTAGAAGGCCAGATTTACTTAGGGTGTGTGAGGGGGGTGGAAGACTATTTTCTGTTAATCTCAGTGTCTTAAAGCTATGTGGTTATATACAAAATTTGACATTTCAGTCAAATCTTTAATGATAAAACCATTGTTTTCACTTATGTCCTATTACAAAAGAACAGATTCTTATTGAATTTATGCAAATAAATTACCTTTTGTACTTTATTACCATAAAGTAAGAATACTGATAGATAGTTTAAAATTTTGGATAGCTCAAGTAGGAAGAAAACTAAATTAACATTGTTTATGAAAGGATACTCTACCAAACTTTTCCAAGCTATAGTAGCCTAAAAGAAAAAAAATTTTTATTTTTTAAACCTGGAGAAAAAACACACATGAATCAATACCATTTTACACAAAAGTCATTAAAATCATAACCCTTTATAAGTTCAGTCTCATTAATTAGTTCTTGTTCTGCTCGATGAACCCATTGGTTTTATCTGTCTAGTTTTTCATTAAAGTTTTGGAAAAATTTACCCAGTTGACTGGTATAATCTTAAAGTCATCAGAAACCTATGTTCAAGAGTACTTGTCAGAGTCTTTCCCCAACAGTTCCTCTGAAGAAGAAGCAATTTGGACTGTAGCTGATTGCAAATGCTTGTAGAGAAGAATCCAAACAACACAATAATTGCCTATGGATGACAAAAACTTAAAATGGCTATAGATAAAAAAAGAATGTGATGAAGGGCTGGGGTCATGGCTTAAGTGGAAGAGTGCCCTGAATTCAGACTCCAGTACCACCACAAAAAAAAAATAGACTAGATTGGTAAGGGGTGCTTAAAGTACTTTTGCTGAAAAGCACTAACTCCTTACTTGGGCCCACAAACCAACACAAGACAAAATCTTGGCATCTCTGTCTCTATTTTGTACCTGTTTTCCTTTGCTCTGAGCCATTCTTTCTTTCATAAGTAGTTTTTAGAGGTGTGTTTTTGTCTTCATAAAGACTCAATGTATAAGACAAAGGCAGTTTTCTTCCCTGAAAACTGTGATAGTTTGAGTGGTATCAAGGGTCTGGCTTGTCTACCTAATTGTAGTATCTTTAATTTGTTCCTGTATATTGGGGAGCAGATTTTTACTTTTTTATGCTTCTGGGTTTCTAACCTAGGGCTTTCCAGGGGCTCTACCACTGAGCCATACCCCAGTTCCCCCCCTTTTTTTCCACATTTTTTTTTCTGTATGCTAGAGCAGATTGTTAGCTAAAACGGAAATACAAATATCCTCTACTCCGGATTCAGAGGGTCTTGAAAACGTTTCAAGAAATCATTTCCTTTCTTTCTAAAGTTAATTTTAGCTCAAGAGAAAAAGTAACATACTGGTACTATTACACTCTAAATATAAACCAAAGATTTAAATCAAGAGCATATATCAAACACTCAAACTACATAAAAAACTTACAGGAGACCAAAACAAATGAGAAAGTCTATACAATGGGAGCGAAAAACAAATAAGTAAAAAACACACCGACTAAAGAAACAGCGCCCCCCCCAAAAAAAAGCCCCATCCCGTCAAAATCCAATTCACTTCCAATTGTAGCTTAAGGAAAGATTCGTAGCTATTCACGAGGTTCTCATATTTTTGTCTATTGGATTCCCACTTTTTGACTGCCACAAAAAAGGCTTGATAACGTAAGTTCAAAGGACTCTATAAGACAAAACAGGAAAGGAAAAGCTGTTTATGGAAGAAGAAAGGATTAGAAATGGGTACTCTAAATTCAATAGTCATACAAATAATTTAAATATTTCTCTCCTGAGCCAAAGGGATTTACTGAGAAATTTTTGATTTTAGTGATCGCTTCAGCAGCACATATACTAAAATAGGAACGAAAGGGATTTATGATGGATTTTAAAGGGTATTTTAAAGAAATGGTAAGATTGGCATGAGAAAAGCCGAATCCCTCCCTGCTTTTTTCCTAAGTGCAAAGGGTAGGGAGAACTGAGCTGCACACTCTTGTGGGTTGGTCTCATACTGATCAAAATTTTGTTGCAAAATAAAGAATCTTATAAAAAGATTTTGCAGTACGTAACAATAATGCCAACACAATGCTTAGGACATTTGCATTGCGTTTTAGGCTACGGATTTTGAGAAAACAAATTACATTTGGCAATTCACCAAACCTTTGCATTGAAGGTGTCTAACATGCCGAGTTTAGAACACAGGCTAGCGCATAGGCCGTTAAGTGTTTGGCTCCACCCAGCCGGTGACACAGCCCTGGCGGTCTTTATAGACTTCCGGTGCTTCCACGGAGTGCGGCTTTTGCGTGATCTCCGTGACGTCACATCCGGCCTAGCGATTGGTACGGCGACCCCGCGCGATGAAGTGCGCGTTTGTTACTGTAGGGACCACCAGCTTCGACGACCTCATAGCGTGCGTGTCGGCGCACGAGAGTCTGCAAGTGAGTGGGGGAGGCGGGCCGGCGGCGGCTGCCTTCGCCGCGCTTCGCTAGGCGCTCACTGCCTCCTGCTTTACCGCTAGCTTTCCAGCCTTGCCTGACGCGGCGTTCGGAGAGAAACCTTCGCAGCTTTCCCTCAGGTGCCGCCGCCCCCTTGTTGGCTCCTTCCCGTGCCCCGCTGGGCCCTCTTTAGGCTCACCGAGCCTGGGGGTCCTCCGCCTCTCCGCCTACTCGCCGGGCCGCTCCTCCCTGTCCTTTCTTGGCCCCTCTTTTCCTAGCTTTCCCCCACCGTCCAAAGTCTCCGCCTTTCCGAGCCGTGGCTCTCGTCGCGGCTGGGACTGCCTCCTGCCTCGCCTGTCCCGAGGCGTCTGTGAACCGCGAGATTATCTTTGAGTGCGGCGGTTGGCGGAAGCCGCCATCAGGGCGTCCTCTAACGAACCCACGCCTTTCTTCTGAGGCGCGGACACCACAGCGTCCCTTGCCGGGCTGCGTCTGTGCAGCTTGTTTTCTCAGTGCTTGCGTTTGTCTCGTCGCAACCCTTGAGGCAGAACCAGACATTTCATCGGCTCCCCCCTCTCCCAGTTTGCGACGTCTTTTCCAAAGTTTTCCTGCCCTTATTTTAACTGGACCAGTTCCTTTCCGAAGTCGGTGAGCTGGGCCCTTAGATTCATTTGGGCTAATGAGGTTCCTTGTGGGTCCCGGGACGGGAAAACTAACTGATATCGGCCATAGGTGGGCTGTTTGCGTGTGCTCCAGTTTGAACACTTAACTTTTTAAGGTTTGTTGTTAACTGCTGTTCTTACAGTAGCCAATTTAAAAGGCCCGCGTTTTCTTATTTCCTGTTTTAGATAATCCAGAGCCTTGGTTACAGCCGACTTATCCTCCAAATTGGTAGAGGAACGGTGGTACCTGAGCCATTCAGTACTGAGTCATTTACTCTGGATGTTTACAGGTACAAGGATTCCTTGAAAGAAGACCTTCAGTTAGCAGATCTTGTTATTAGTCACGCAGGTAAAGTGTCTTAGAATCTCAGGGTTCCGTCTTTGAGAAACAATAAAGAACTGACATTTAACCTTTTCATGCTAAAATAAAACCACTAAATAAATTTATAGAACAATAAATTCACTATAACTTTATAGGATATAATAACTATTTGACTAATTTGAATATAATAATTTGAGAATGTTAGTGGAGAGTATTTAGTATATACAGATGAGGAAAAACTAGGAAATTATTGATTTAGCCAGGAGACGATTTTAGATTTCAAAGTTGAATTGATTCTAATGTGTATATGCATGTTCATGAAGATCTAGCCTTGACTATCTTGGGAATGGCACCTCACAGATCAGTCATTTTTTTTTTGTTGGTACCTGTCACCATTGTAGGCCTGCTATTTCTGCTTGTGTTTGAGTACAAGTGAAGTATACTTTTCCCTTGGTATCATACTTGAATTCATCCCATCCACCATTCACCTTCATCCTCCCCTCCCCCCATTCCTGGTACTCTTGTCATTTTGAATACGTTATCGAAAGGTCTGGTTTATATAGTTCTGTTGACTAAAGTATTCAACTTTAGAGTTCTAATTATAAGACTTGGTAGAGCCCTATAACTTAAAATTATATTAACAAATTTGATTTATTTTTGTAGGTGCAGGAAGCTGTTTGGAGACTCTGGAAAAGGGCAAGCCACTTGTGGTAGTTATAAATGAAAAATTGATGGATAATCATCAGTTGGAATTGGCAAAGCAGCTACACAAAGAGGGACATCTATTCTACTGTACCTGCAGGTATACTAGAGACCGACTAATTGATTGCTTGCTTGCCTTAAATTCCACTATATCTGTTCTTAGCCACCTACCTAACCTATATGTCTCTCTTGTTTCTTACCTTTTTCCACTAATTAAACTTTGATTTTTCTCTCCTATAAAACACTTGACTTTGGTCTGTGTTGTAATTTTTTCTGTATCTGTGTCCATTTCTTCACATGCAAATCTGACACTTTTGAGTGTGTGTATATTCATATGGGTGTGTGAGTTTTGAAGAGTCTAATTTTTTAGTTCATTATTTTGGTTTTTAGTATTCTTCAAAGAAGGTATTTGCTTCTTTCAGTTAAGGTTTTACCTTTAGTAAATTCACTTGAGTCTCTAAATTAAATGTACTTACTTATTTATCCAATTATAGCTAGTATTAACGGGCACTCTTATGTTCTAAGGATACAATGGTAAACATGAGAGGAAGCTCAGTGTTCTCATTGTACTTTCATTCTAGTGGTAGATTATCACATGGTGAGATATGCTACAAAGAAAATAAGACAGAGTGATGTTATAGCTGGCTTGAAGACTAATTAGGTAGAATCCTCAGGGAAGGTTTGACAAAAGTACATGACATTTGAGGTCAGACCTGAATTACAGGACAGACTCAGTGATATAACGCTCTAGAGGCAGAGGAACTGCAATAGTAAAATCCCTAAGTTAGGGATCAGGTGTGCTTAAGAAATGGAGGGAAGGTTAGTATGGCAGGAGCATAGTGAGCAAGGGAGAGTATGGTATGAGGCTGGGAGGGGATAGCTCATATAAGAGTTTTAATTTTATTCTATGTTTAGTGAGAAGGCATTCAAGCATTTTATTTATTTTTTTAACTATTGGGGTTTTAACTCAGGGTTTCACACTTGGCAGGCACTCAATGGAGCATTTAAAAAGGGAATTACTTTATGGTAAGGAGTATTGTTTTCTAGGCGTATATTAGAATTCACCAAGAACTGATCAACATCAGAAGTATGAGGAAAATTGCTGATAAATTTTCTGTTAGTTCTTCCTTGAGATGCTAGAAGTTTGCCAAAGGGCCAGGTCAGTAATTACTAATTGTTTGAATTTAAAACCTTCCCTAGTTTGATGCTTTAAAAAGTGAATACCTAACAGAATGATTAATTATATAAATATGTATTTTTATGTTATAGTAGATTGAAGTTATTTTAAAATAAAAAATCCTAGAAGAAACTAGTTTGGACATCATCTTTTGATATTTCTGATTCTCTTTGGCACTCAGTAATTATGTGTTTATTCAGTAAATATTTATTGAGCACATAATGTGCCAGGCATTTTGTAGGTACTTAGTATATATATCGGTGAGCAAAATGAAGATTCTTGTTCTCATTGGGAGAAACAGATTGACTATTTCAGGAGTGAAATTGTTAATATCCTCATTCCTGTAATGGTGAAGGTGAGTGATTGTAGTCTTGAAGTACTGTGAGTCAGAAGGAAAGCAAGACAATTAAAATTACATATGCTTAGGTGTATCTACCCTTCCTTAGTTGAGATTGTTAGAGGTTGAAATCTTTTTAAAAGATGAAGATTCTCATTTTCCTAACTGGTTTATGCAAGTCAGTGTTTCCAGGTACTTTTGATGAGTTTTCATTGGAAACATTAAATCAGCTCTGATTTTGTTAGTATATTATGAAATGAAAAACATTGATTTCATAAACACATCCTGACTTAGGCAGAAGAAAAAAACATACAAGTCTCCAGTAGTAGAATCTTTATGTTAATTTCAGAAATGTCATACGTATGAAAGCATTGAAAAGCAAAAATTGATCATATTTTCATTTTAGGCAAATCATTTATCTTCCTCAAACCTAGGTTGTCTTAATTTAGGAGTCTTGTTTACATAAATTTCTGAGGTAATAGTTGTTTTTTTTTATTTTTTTTTGGTGGTACTGGGATTTGAACTCAGGCCTCACGCTTGCTAGGCAGGCACTCTACCACTTGAGCCATTCCACCGGTAATAGTTTTATGTTGAAAATTTTAACCTTATTTTCAACATGCATGGTGATTGTATGTATATTGATTATATAGGAATTTGCAATAGTAAATTATGGGTAAAAAGTTATTTCACACTGTTCTTTAATAATCTCCCTAGCTTACTTTCTTATCTGGCAGCTCTTAATTTTGGTTTCATTTATTCTGTTTTCATAAATTAATTTTGCTTCATTTTACATCTGCCCTGCCCTGAGGAATATTACAAAACCATGTGAACATATTTTTCATAAAATGACATTTCTAAAATAGTTGACTTAAGAGATAAAGTATTTGTCTCTGTTATATTTTATAGTACACTTTTTACTGCAGTAATCTGAAATACATAAAACTTCACATGTGCTGTTTTAGAACCATCACTGTATTCTCAGAAGTTAGATTCAGTCATCAAGTGGGCAGCAGATGAATTATGGAATTTTCTCCCATGTTACCTAATACTTTTCTTCTTTTGTTTTAGCACGCTTCCTGGGCTGTTACAGTCAATGGACTTATCAACACTGAAATGTTATCCTCCTGGCCAGCCAGAAAAATTTTCTGCATTTTTGGATAAAGTTGTTGGATTACAAAAATAAACATTAAACTCTCAATATTTTAAACCCCTCCCGAATGTGGTGAAGTCTAAATTAAGTATATACCTTATTTACAGGATAATATAAATTAATATAGTTCCTACATCCATACAATGTATAAGAAATTTTATTGTACTAATAATGCATTTGGATGTAAATCCTAATTTGCAATTTAGTAAAAATATTAAGTTTCCCTAATCTTCAATATATAGTGGACTTTCAGAGTTTTGTCCTAGAGTCCAAAATGGATTTGGAATTGTGTTAGAAAAAAAGAGAATGAACTGGGTGTGGTGGTCCATGCCTATATTCCCAGTACTCCAGATTCTGAGTTTGAGGCCAACCTGGGCTATATAGCCAGACCTTATCTCAAAATAACCACAAAAACCAAAATTTGAAAGCTGACAAGAATCATAAACATAGTTTGATGTTCCTTTGAGTAAAAAGCAGTAACATCTAAAATTTTTTTGCACTAGAGTCAGCATCTTTAACCATGAAATCAATGAAACAGAAGTTTTTTCCCCAAAATCAGAAATGATGAGCTCTGTGAAATAAAAAGCTCAACAATTGCTTAAAAAGATGATCAAGTTAGTTGATCTGTTGTACTTAGAGAAACTGCTTTTCTCCTGAGGAATAAAATAGGTATCTTTACTTTTTCTGTCTAAATAATCCTGCCTAATGTCGAAGCTTTAAAGAAGAATAAATCAAAAAGTACTTATACCAATAGAGTTTGCTATTAATTTTTAAGGATATCCTATCACAGTGGGAATGAAACATTTACTGTAATAGAGAAGTTGACGATTTCTGTGCTTAAAAAATAAGTTACAAGATGAGTAATTATCTTGTGTATAATGGCTTAAATACATGGTTTTAAAATTCATAACAGATACATTTGAAGTTCTTTTTGATAGAGTATATAGTCTCAGTACCTAAGGGTCACAGTTCTCTGGTATAAAGCTGAGATGCTTTATCCAGAAAAAGAACATTCAAGAGCCTGGTGCAGTAGCACAAGCCTGTAATCCTAGTACTCAGGAGGCAGTGGGAGAATTGAGAATTGTTAGTTTCAGGCCATCCTGGGCTATATAGTAAGACCTCTCAAAAAAATTTTTACAAAAACCCTAAAACAAAAAATTTATACATTTTACCAAAGTGGCCACTAGGACTGGTTTTTTAACAATCCCTAGTAAAGAAAATTTTTGAACTAAAAAACAAAATAAATTATACAGACCTATCTTTCAGTATATTGTTATCCCAAAATGTTAAATGTTTGAATAATTTTACTTGGGATGCATTACATAATATTTTTGTAGATTTATTCTCCTGAGTATATTTTACTTAGACTAATGTTAAAATTAATTTCTAATGGTAGAAGGTGGTGGATGAGAAGTGTTCTGGGTAGCAGGAGGAAGCCAACACGGATTAAAATTTTCCTGAGAATAATCTAAAAAGTGAGTAATCCACATAGTTGAGAATTCACAGCACTATAATTATAATTGTATATTAATGTTATAGTGGTTTAGAAAAGGTCTTATTCAAATCCAGAGAGAACCTTAGTGTTTTCTGGGCCCTTTTAAAAAAGATTTTCATATTTGAGAAAGATTGTATTATAAAGTTTTTGTTGTTACTCAGTCTTTGTAGTTATTTTGTAGCATGAAGGACTAACCATAGAGAATCAGAAATGAAAAAGGGTCTACTCAAACATCAGACAATGAAAAAAACCTGTTGGTCCCCAAGTCTTTTTATTTTCATGTCAGAATGCAAAGCCTAGATTCTATTAATTTCATTTGGGACTTAAGCCAGTGGTGTCAGTTGTATGTAGTAACATCTCCACCTACACTTTTTCAGTATTTTTAAATTGTGGCATTTTAAATCAAATTGATTCTTTAGAATCATTTTGATTTCTCAGGGATTATCAAGAATACTCCAGTCCCATTGTTTTTGAGCTGAGTGAACAGGTCAAAGGTAACAGTTTGTCTAAAGTAACATCTTTTGGCAGAGCTGCTACTAGAAGCATCTCCTTTTTAACTCAGTTGTATGTGTTCTTTCTACTGTACCATAATACATGTTGCAAGCTTTTGATTTCTTTATGATGGCTTGTCTATTTAGTTACTCTAATCCCTTCCAAGGAAATTTTATTTCCAGAAATCCTTTATTTTGGTAAGAATTTCACACTTAACCTGATTTTCCTTTGATGTTTGAGGACCTTACTTAGGACTTAGAAGCCTGTGATTCTTGAGTTTTGGGAATCTGCCAAAATGCTCTGGGTAGGATTGATGTTAGAGTGAGTAAATTAAGACTTAAAGAATTGTAGACTGTTGGAAGAGGATTTAGAGAATAATGCAAACCACTAATTTTAAAGGTGAGGAAGCAGGCTAAGATAAATTAATTTCCAAGTTTACATCTTATTGG